CAAGAGGTAGTTTTGAAAATTAATCATAAATGTTGTTTTTTTTTTTAATAAGATGGTCTCATCACATTAAGCGAGGTGGTGAAACTGTTGGACGATTTAATTAGATGCTAGCAAATTCTAACTCCCTATGAAAACGAAAATAATACTAACATAGCATAAATTAATAACCCCTAAACCTACAAATCAACCCCATCTCAGCCGAAATATCACAGCTTTTATATATATATATGTGCGTAATATTATATTTGTAACACTCCTCTACTTATATATTTATGAATTTTAAGCAACATTCAGCTAATTCTCTATGCAAACTTATTATTGTATAATGCTATGTTGTTTCTCAATTCCTCGATTGGTGGTCTATGATAATTACTTTCCTTATTATCTCGATTTCCTATGTTTAAAATGTAATTTAATGTATCAACAAAATTGTGCCATATATATTTTTCACAATCTCAAACCTGTTAACTGGGTAAAGCTTATTAATTAGGTCTTCATTCTTGGAGTTCATATATATATACAAGTTTCCCTCGGCCCAAAAAAAAATTAAAAAAAAAAAAAAAAATCTTACTTGTTAAGTTGTTTGAATTAATGGTTACTCGCATCTTCAGCTGGTATGCATTTGCTTGATAATTAAAGAGATGAAATTTACATGAAATTAAGAAACCGAAGAACACACAAATGATATGAATGTTAAAGAGTAGCTTAAATGGCATCATGAAACAAGAAATTCGTTATGTTTTATTAAAAATTTGACTCTAAAGGTCTTATTAAGTAGTAAAATGTAACACAACAGGCTTCAGAGATGCAACATGCATTTGGAGCATGAAGCCCGGACGTCCGCCTACTCAGACTAGTGCACGGTGGCTTATGACAATATGGACGATTGCAAGGAGGAGGAGGCTCATATGGTGGACTCCAACAGCTCTGATGATCACAACATGGTTGGCCACATTCGACCTGAGAGTTGCTGATATTGTTTTTGTCAGCGTGGTCAAAATGGGAAAGTTTGATTTTTTTCTCAATGGGGATAGTAACTCTACTAGAGGAGCTGAAGCTTAGTGAAGCCAAGAATGCTAATGAAAATCAAACTGGGAGATGCCATTTTAATTGATTAAGCAAAACTTGGATGCTTTGAATGAATGGCTCTGGCGTCAATGGGGTTTATATACTGAAGTTTGTTAGGGCCAAAAATTGTCCTTGGCCCGAATAGAAAACGGGCTCGACACTGAAGAAGAAGCCACCCCAATCCTATATACCCAACCAGATTAGGCCCATTCGGTACAAGATATAGCCAGCCCAAACCACGTGGGCACGAGCCTCCTAATCCCAGTCCATTTCCTAGGTCCATGGGCGAATCCAGAGCCCACAACCCCTCAGAATACTTTCCTACTCCTGATCAATCTCCCATTCAAGGTCACCTTCCTATTCCTGATCACTTTCCTACTTGGAGTTCTCTCCTAATCAGAATCACCTTCTTATCCGGACACTGGTAAGACAGCTACACACCCTAATTCTTCTAGGGTTTGCATCAGAGTCATACTAGGACTCCTACGTTCTAACAGATTGACCAGACGACCACTATATAAACAGAGGCCAGCCCTCTCACAAGGGACAGATGACATTACACCTTCACACTGAAAGCTCTGACTTGAGAGCTCCACATCACCGCCGTAGTCACAGTCCCCGACTAGACTCCGGTAACCTCTACTCCCTAGCCCTCACTATATTAGCCTCTCTCAGCCTTGCTGACTTGAGCGTCAGAGTGCTTACGGCAAACACCACCCCGGTGTTTCCCGTTCGCTTCACGCGTGTATTTCTCTACATGTGCAGATGCAGCGGATCGCTAGTGGCCTTAACCTCACGGGATCAGACCCCCCTTCCGTACAGGTAGATTTTTACGTCTACAAAGTTTTACCTGATTTTGTTGGAGTATGTGAGTGAAATCAAGAAAAATATTTTATACACTTTGTTCTTGTTGTTGGGAGCGATTCATGGTGATTGTGTGAACAAAAAATTATATACTGTAAGCTGCATTATATTAAGTAAAATTTGAGAGAATCTTATGAATAACAGAGATGTGTATAGCCTTAATTAATATGTATTAAGTAAAATTTTGTTGCATTGTATTTATTTTTAATTAGAAAATAATTATTGAATATTTTATATTAATGTATGGTAAGAGACGGAATTAGGACTTGAATTTTGAGATGGTCAAATATACATTAATATGTTCAACATCACTTGCCCAGTCACTTCGGTATACCCAACAAGATTACAATCATTAGCATATTTATAAAATATACTATGATTTTGAGTACCTTTTATGTATCACAAAATTCGTTTTGCAGCTTGTAAATGAACTTGGCTAGGTGTCTTCATAAACCAACTAATAATACCAACTCCAAATGACATATCTGGTCTATAAAAAAGTCAAATAACATAGACTACCTACTAAACTCCGAAAATAAGTTGGATTGACAAGTTCACTATTGCCATGTTTGTTCAAATGCAGCCTTACTTCCACATTAGTCTTGATAGGATTACATGATTCCATCTTGAACCGCTTCAGAATATATGCTACATATTTCTTCTGTGAGATGAATATCCCATCATCAATCTGCATAACTCTCAAGTCCCTGAAAATAAGACATAAGCCCCAGATCGGTCATTTCAATCTCTCTAGTCGTAGCCTCCTTGAATTCAGGAAACATTCTTGAGTCATTTCTTATGAATATAAAATCGTCCACATGCAAACACACACTAAGCATATTTCCATGTGAGTTGGATTTGATGTAAAGTATAGGTTTGTAAAGACACTTAAGAAAGCCAATTTCTTGGAAATATGAGTCGATACGAGTGTACCAAACTCTCGGTGCCTGTTTTAATCCATATAAAACTTTCTTTAGCTTGAGGACCTTATCTTCATGACCTCTCTTCACATAACCAACGGTTTGATCTACAAGGACTTCTTCTTCAAGTTGTCCATTAAGAAACACTAACCTCACATCCACTTGATGTATTTGCCATTTCTTTTGGGCAGCTAAGGCAATCACCATACTAATGGTATCAAGTCTAGCTACGGGTGCAAAAACTTCATAATAATCAATACATGGCTTTTGTTTTTATTCTTTCACAACCAGCCTAACCTTCAATCGGTCCACTTGACCATCTAGTTTATACTTGATCTTGTACACCCACTTGACACCAATCGATTTCTTTCCCTTAGGAAGTGAAGTTAGCTCCCAAGTGTTGTTCTTCTCTATTGAATGAATATCTTCATCCATAGCTTGATTCCATCCATCATCTTGTGCTGCTTCTTCAAACGCAAGAAGACAACAATTTGCAAACAATGCAAAATTTACAAGTTCCTCATCAGAGACATCATTGTCATTGGTATCCTGTAAACATGCTAGCAAGTGCAAGTGGAAAAGGGTCGAGAAAATAGGAAAACATGTGGAAAAGCAATGAGCTTCATCGGCAATTGGGGGCAACTCCGGTGACGAGGTTTGGTGGGATTTGAAGAGGAAATGAGAGGAGTCAAGGGTAATAATGTCTTAAAAAATTTGTGTATAAGGATAAAATAGTCGATGAATATTCTTATAAATTATTTTAAAAGCAAGGGCGTTACTGTCTAAAAATTTTATTAATTAAAGATAGAATTGTAACAAAATTAAGATTACCAAGTAATCTTAGAATATCTAATAAATGAGTGGTATTCAAATTATCACCTATATAATCTACAATGATTACTATTGGTATTGGAGGATTATCAGAATTTTTTATTACTTAACAACCAAACATGATAATATCAGTAATATAAGATAACATTACTGAAATGAGTGGTATTCAGATTACCACCTATATAATCTATAGTGATTACTATTGGTACTGAAGGATTACTAGATTCTTTTATTATTTGACAATCAAACATGGTAACGTCAGTAATATAAGATGATATTAATAGAGTAATGGGCAAGGTTGTTCAAAACCGGTTAACCGATTTTGTAAACTGAAGTGGTTTTTTGGTTCAAGAATTTTCATGAATTGAAACCAAATAAATTAAGGGGAAAACCGGTTTTGAACCAGTTTTAATTTAATATTTAATATATTTTTTAATTTAATAATTTTATAATAAACTGGATTTTATTTTATTTATATTTTAATTTAATATTTTTATAATAACTGGTTAGTAAAACCGGTTTCGATTAACCGGTTTTCATATTCTCCTAAACCAGTAACCGAACCGAAAATTCGTTTTTATATTCTTTGAACTGAAACCGAACTAGTTTTTAGATAACCAAAAATTTGATTTGGTTAGAGTTTTTACATTTTTTCGAACACCCCTAATAATGAGAAATTACCCCCAATCAAACACACCCTACATAAAAGTGATGGGATATTCTTTAATTTGGTGGGAAGTTGTTAACATTTAAGATGGTCGTGTTACTTTTTGCTTTTTCTTATTTTAATGTAAATCTTCTACCTTACACAACCAAATCCAATGAGTTAAAATCATAACTTGTTTGGATAGTTATGTTAATGTCTCTAAATGAATTTGGATAGTTATGTTAAATGTCTCTACTCTCTAATCTTGAGGCAGAAGGCATGCGACTAACACTTGTGGAAGAAGGGGTCAACAGCTTGCGAAAGAAGGGTAAATCCAGTCTACACGGAATCAAAACTTAACTGCGCAAATAAGCAATCGAGATTTCAGATTGAGCGCCAAAAGACATCTCTTTTTTAATTATTTTTTTTTTTTTCACTTTTTCTTTTTAACATTATTTATTATTATCATTCTCCTTCAATTTCATATTCATTTCATGTCATTTTCATTTTCACCACAAGATTTATATTTATTCTTTTCTTAAATTTACATAAACAAATCAAAAATTTTATTTCCATTTCCATTTCTATTTTCTATATAAACAAACAAACAAAGCCTTGAAAACTTTTGTATTCAGGCGAAGTGAGTGGGAGTCTCTGCCTTTCTCTCTCTCTCTCTCTCTCTCTCTCTCTCTCTCTTCTCCAAACCTCTGCAAAACCCCTCTGGTACGCCTCTTCTTAATCTCTTCTTCAATTTAATTTTATTTATTGATTGAAAAATCAGACTTCTCTTTGATTCTTTACGGTTATTTCAACTGGAAATTTGTACTCAATTTTTATATTTTCCTGTATAGTATAATCTCTCTATTTCCTTTTTTTTCTTTCCTTTTTTCTTTCTTTCTTTTGTTTGTATCATACCTAGATAATGAAGTGGGAGCAAGAATAGATAACTGTCGTCTTTGAATTCGAGTTCTTGCGACCAAACGCGGTTGCGAAATGTTTCTTTAATTGAATCATTGCATTTTGTGTATATATGTGAAGCATTGTTTAGCAAGAAAGATTTTATTTCAAAACTTCTTTTTTGTTGTATAAATTATAAGATTGTGTGTGATTTATTATGCTTTGTGAAACTATTTGATTATTTCTTGGGATTTTTGTTGTATAAATTATGCGACTGTGTTATTGGTTATGCTTTGTGAAACCATTTGATTATTTCTTGGGATTTTTGTTAACTGAAAAATTGGTTAACCAGATCAAAAGAAAGTGAAATTGGGTGCTTAGTGATTCTTTAATGTTACTGTTTTGGGTTTCTATATTCTCTAGGTATATAACATATGTTCATGAAGCTTTATTTATTTTTGGTTGTATAATTTGAACACTGTTCTGTGTACTGAATTGTGTGCTCTTGTTGCTTTGTGAAGTGTATTAGGAATGGAAGTATCTAGTTCAAACGGATTGAACAGTGACATTGAAGAGAAGGCATTGAACAGTTTGCTTGACGTGTTTGGTTCTATGTTTACTCTACAAGAAATAGCTTCAGCTTATTGCAATGCTGGACGAAATGTAGACCTGGCGGGTGAGTTTCTTTTTGACCAGCAGGCAAGCGTCTCAACCTCCACTACCCAGCCACCTAACGGTGAGGCAAGGTGTAAAGAATCGTCAGAATCAATTAATATTAATATTTCGGAGCCTTTATATGAAGCAAATGGAAAGTTCAGAGCTTCAAAGACAAAAGGGCGTACAGTTTCAGCAGGCACTATTTCTAGTGTTATTGGTAAAGATTATGCTGAAGTTGTTCAGCCAGCTAATGGTTCTTGTGTAGCAACCAAACCATTGAAGTTGGATTTGGAGTTTCCCATGTCTGAAATCTGGGGAGAAGAAGCTAAACCAAATCCCCCAAAAGATGACCTTCTACCCAAGGATATGGAAGATTTTCTCTTCAAATTGCTTGGAGAAGGGTTCCGGATGGAAAGGGGTGTGATTCGAGAAGTTCTTGGTATACCAAATTTTACAACTTTACCATATGTTCTAGTTGCTATTTTCATTTTTTGTGTCATTGAATCTATGTTTTTTTATTCATTCTCTTGCTGGATTGCGTCATTTAAGTTCTGAAATTTGTCAAGTAAAATGCTTTCATCAGTGAGTTTTTCTGGTGTGTTCATGAATCACTATGGTTTATTTATTTCTATCAATTACTTCTTTGTCATGAAGTAGATGTAAAAATTTTCTAAGAAAATAAAAGAAGTGGTGGGTGGGCTTCCTTATGAGGAATCTATGGGAACTCCAGTGGAGATGGAATAATATCTCAACATTCTATAAATTCTCAGTAAAAGATTGGTCAGTGCCCGCACTCCTTTTGGTATTTGATGTTTGGTAGTCATGGAAGGAATCATATTGGCGTTTTAGATGTATGAGTAATGAACCAAATTAGACCTAGAACTAACTAGGAACCAAAAGCGTTGCTTTGTCAGTGGCTTGTAAAATTAGTAATGTACTTGCAGGATTATTTTATCTGCTATTTTTTAACTGCGACATCCTTAGGCAATCCTTCGATATTTCTTGAGGAGTTTGGGAATGTTTGGAGACATTTCAATAAAACCAGATGCATTATGCTAAATAAGTATTAACACAGTTGATTCAATCAGTCTATGGGGCAATTTCTGTCTAGAGCTAATAATTGTGTGAGGAATCAATTAGGGAAATTTGGTTCAGAATTGTTTAGGAAACCAGTATGGACTTATAGTATTTATTTTGATGGTTTCTGTGTTGTCATCCTAATCTGACTTTATATGAAATTTGCAGAGAGTTGCGGATATGATATGAAAAAGGTATGTATCCCTAATATCTTTTTTTTGATTGAGGCCTCTGTTTTACTTCTTTTTTTTTTTATTTTTTTTCTCAATTTCACTAAAGGTCGCCTTCGTTTTTATTATCATATCAGGTCAAAAGGCAATTCTCATATACTGCTATCGCTGTTTAAGTTATGTTGCAAGAAGAACCTTTTGATACTGATGAAAATTAGCTTTTGATTCTTCCTAGTATGGGGAATAAGATCTTTTGGTGGTTTTCAGTAGTCGAACAGAATACACTAGTTGACCCAGTATATTAGTCAACTGAGAAAATTAATAGACTGTATGCTTCAAGGCCTGTAAAAACTTGCACAGAGCCATTACCCTGACTATAAAATGACCTTTTGAAAAAATTATTTAGGATTTTATATATTTATGACATACCTTGAAATAATGTTTGGCCTGCTAACTTTGTGTTAACTACTATAACCCATTTAGCTGATACAGGTTTACCTTCTTTGGTTCATGTAATCAATTAAGTAATTCTTCATACAGAAGGCGGATAATTTTTTATCTTTGATTCTGCATAGAAGTCATAGATTATGTTTCAAACACTTAGAACTTCTAAACTTTTCTAACCTTTTTTCTTTTTTTTTTTTTTTTTTTTTTTTTAACTGTGCAGAGCATGTTGAAACTACTTGATCGTTCAGAAGAGACTTCGGACAGGAGAACGGAATCTCTTGATAGATCCTCTGAGAAGGTTAGTGTTATTGCATCTTATTCCCTAACCCGTGTGCCTATAGTTGTGATGATGATGCATGCTTTAATCTCATATAACTGCTAGTTATTAGTTTTGTTTTCTGTGAACTAGCCTTACTACTGTTCGGGCTACAGATAAAATATATATTTGAGATAATATGGAAACCAATGTTGGGATGGAAAAATTGCAGTTGAGTTTACAGTACATGTAATTTTCCTGTAGGGTAAAGTCATCAGTTTGATGAATGTGAGAGAAAGCTAGTTGATAATTTATCCTGGATAGATGTAAAATTCTTCTTACATGCCCATTGCATTTACTTAATTCTTCTTTATACCATTACTAAAATGAAAGTTAAAGATGGTGGCTATCATGTCTATACTAGAGATGTGCATGCGAATCTGAAAGTAATAATCTTTCTATTCTAGTTAATTTGTGAGAGTAATTACTACATCTCTTAAAACTCTATCTTTGAGAAATAAGATGGAGTGAGTAATTACCAGTGTCTTTATTTGTGTTTTGAAGTATTATGAAATATTTTGTGGAGGTAATAACAATAATCCTTTTGAGGTTTCTGAAATAACAAGAATACCCCGACTATTAAGTTTTAGGTGTTAAAATTAATAGTAGAAGGGAAATTAGGTAAATATTCATTAACTCATAATAGCATAGATCCTAATGGCTCACTAACGGCAAGAGGATTTTTGTTATTTCAAAAATCTCAGAGATTCTTGTTATTTGATCAAACCTTAAGGGGGTAGATGTCATTAACCCTATTTTGTAAGACCAACTTAGTACTAGGGTTATTTTGATGATTTCCTTTACAACATACATTTTCTGCATATTTTGTTTTTTTTTTTTTTTTCAATTCATGTATCACTTTATTCTACCACTCAAGTTGCTTGAATTTAGAAGAAAAGAAATAATATTGACCAGCTTAGGAATGCATGATTCATGGTTATTTAAATTCTGTTACTTTACACGTCTCACAAAATATCTTCAGTTTAGATATAAATGTTTGTGCTATATCTTAGGTTTCCTTGTTCTTGGAGGATCAGTTCATGTTAAGTTAGTAGTTGGTTTTTCTTTTCTATCAACAGTTGGAAATTAACAGTAACCTTTTCATTGATAGATGTTTCTTTTTTTATGATTTTGTATTACAGTTGACGGAGCATCCAAATTCCAAAGGACTTGATTCTCAAAGAAACTTGCAACAGCAGAATTCTTCTGGATGGTATTTAAGTTTAGAAAATTTATTTCTTCTCAATCTTTAGGAAGCTCTATATTATTCCCTTCAAGAGTGCAGGGGCTGGGGCCAAGGAGAGCGTTAGGAAGAGGGAAAAAATGTCTGGTCCCCCAAAGTCATGTTAGCTTTTTGCTTGTATTCCTGCAGTAGTGGAGATAACGATGCCAATAAAAGTGGAACAAAATTGCCTAGACAATCGAAAGAGAGAAATGAACTCCAGAAGGAAGTTTTGGCTGCTTTGTTTTATGCTCCTGAAAAATTTGAGGAATTGCCTAAAAGAACACAGAAGGCTGTGGCTGTCAGGAGGTCTAGAGCATTCGGAACTGTGGTCAGTGAACCTCCTAGTGACTTTATACCTGAGCCCAAGGCTAATGTGTTTCCCTGGCAAGAAGACAGCACAATAGGTGTGTACTCTGTCAGATTAATTTCATCAATTGTATGTGTGTCTGTATCTACAGTTACAATATATCATGTGAAAGAAGAGTGCTGTGGATCTGTAACATTACCTATCTTCCATGTAAGGGAACAATCTGTAGCACTAGTTCATACATTGTTATAGTGTTGGAAAAAAATCATCAGTTTGTGCAGAAAAAAGGAAATTGATCTTAGAAATTGGTTTACATGCTGTAAATGATGGTCTAGTCCAACCATAAGGATCTGTGATTTCTGAGGAAATAGATGAGAAACTGGCTAAATTTATATTTAACCTTATGTTGTCTTTTTTCATTTTTCTTACCGTCAAACTCTCCTTTCTTCTCATCAAGTCTATTAGTAGTTGCAGATGAAGATGAGGATGATGGCTACCAGGCTCTCCGTAAAGCTGTGATGGAAAATAGGGGCATGAGGAAAGAATATTACAAAGCTGTAGGTTCTTATCTAGCTGTTCAGCATTAACCAATGTTTTATATTGATGAAAGGTGCAATTTTATTTGTGTTAATTGACTTAATTTTAAATACTAAGAATATGAGTTCCTTGCCAGGCTGTTGCTGCATTCGCTAGCGGTGACCGTGTTCTGGCAGACCAACTTATGGAAGAGGTAAGATTTCAATCTACTATCATTGAAGAGTATTATGACCATATTAAACCTGAAGTGAAATCTGGACACTTGGATTGAAACTCTTGCTATGTTAAAGTATTTTACTATGGATAATGAATGTGCTTTGGCATCACAGTTGGCATTCAAGATGCAGACTAAGTTTTCTTGATTGATTTTAAGAAATTTATGGACTTGTGTTTTAAAAGCCAAGTTGTTATATTAACTTCATTACATTTCTGTCTCCTGTTGCACTGAAACTGTAAACACATAAATCATGGTAGTGGCATAATTGGCAAAACCTAGTTTCTTTGAGGCATATCACCTTTAACATGTTAGATTGCCCATTCTGGAATCAACATGATTTACTGTGAGTGCTGTGGGTATAACAGGGACATCGTTATCATGAAAAGGCGCGTCAGGCAGATGATGAATCTAATCAGAAGATTGTTGAAACTAAGTTAGTAACATTTGCATATTTCCTTTTAATGTTGTAGAGAAGGGGGAAATTGGGATAGTGATATCTATTATCTGTTTTATTTTATTCTCTCTGCTGTTCATTGGCAGAAATGCAGAGACAGAAAGCAACATGCTACTTGACTTGCATGACTTTGAAGCAAAGGAGGCTATTCGTCTTTTGAGATGTCATCTTTCAAGAATTTCGGGCATCTCATGTGAGTCATCATTTATTATTTCTATTTGCTCTCAGTTTGTGTCATTTTATGTGAAATAAATCCGATCATGGTTTTCTGCAGCATTCAAGTACCTCAAGGTCATCCTAGAGACAAATGATGCAGACAACAAAAAGGGAACTCGTCGACGCCAGGTAAGACTAGCTAGTTTGTCAATTGTCCGAACTTGTCACCTTATGATCATTCCTGTCTCTAACTTAAACTCTTAGCTCTACATAAATTTATGTTTTGTCACACAAAATAACTTTTTTTTTTTTTTTGATAAAACCCACCAATTGACTTCATTGATTTATTCTATTAGCAGTTGTATGAGTGAGATATGTTTTTTTTCTTTCCCCCTAATTCAGAAGCTGGACTTAATATCCCAGACAGGTGGAAGAGAAGGATTTATGTATTTGTTTATATTATTATCTGAACAGGTTATGAAGCTACTAGACAAAGAATCCATTGAGTGGAATGAAGAAGGCGGCAATCCTGGAACAATACTAATTCGTATAGATATAATCGACCCAAAACGTTTGAGTTTTGCTAAGAAGTAGTGTTCAGCATGGAATCAGGTTGGTTTCTCAAAATCTATCACTATTATACAAAATACAAAGAGGGAAAGGTGATGGTGTGATGGGTAGTACATATAAGAAGCTCATTTGATACATTGTAAAGTTTCAAGGAGCACATTGTTTGACTCTCAATCATTTTTGTAAGTTCTGGTAGATGGATGAAGTTTGAAGTGGCCTTGTTTTTTTTATTTGTCATGAAACATTGGTCGGTGCTTGTTTTTGCAAAGACACTTTAGTTCAGTTTTGGCCTTATCTTGCATTTAGCTCGTGTAATTTTTGCATAATCTATTTTGTTTTCTGACTGGAGCTTTCTCCTGTATGTTTGTGTATTTAATGTTGCTCAATTTCTTATTATAAACAAATATAAGGTAAAGAATTAATGACTCCAAATTTTGAAGTCAAAGTAGTCAACTATCTCAACCTCAACAACCTTAAATACTGTGCAACTTAAATAGGAATGTAAGGGTATGTATTGTTTGGTGCACGACATTGTATTAGTATAGTATTGTGTAGTATCATATAAAATTATACTAAATATAGTATGATGTTTGGTGCATCATTGTATTGTAATTATTTTTCTTTAGTTTGGTATACAATATTGTATTACATAATGCTATATAATATTATACAAAATATTATATGATGTTTGGTGCAGCATTTTATCTTTAGTTTTTCAATTAATTTTTTAAACAAGCATACATTGAAATTTAATAATTCGTTTAAAGCTTAATTCTTTTTATTTTTAACTTAAATTTATAATAGTTACTAAAGAAAAGAATAATTCATTAGCACTAAAAATATTTGTATTAATGTTATTTTAAATCAATAAATATCTATATATTTTAAAGTAATTAATAACTTATAAAATTGTCAAAGTAAATGTAGTAACACAATACATCCTTTAACCTAAACTTGGTATTAATTAATACAACCCTTTTATTTTTGGTATTCATCATTATTAATGGACATGTATTGAGGACTTGTACATTGTATTAGCTAATAAAATACAATTTCCATCAAACATTGTATAATATTATTTAGTGTTGTACCCTTTATATTATACAATGTCGACCAAACATACCCATAATGCGTACCATACATACCTATACACTACTCTTTATACTATACAATACCCATAAGGTTGTGTTTGGTTTGGGGTGATATAAAATTAATCTTGTAATCTTTGTTTAAGTTTCAAGATTCTCTTATTTGGTTGTCAAGTAATAAAATATTACGTAATCTTTTATTGCAAATAATGTTTATTATTAGTAATACTGGGGGTAATCAGGTTACCTTCCCCATGGGTGTTAATATAAGATTACCGAGGTAATCTTAATTTTGACCCTATTTTGCCCTTAATCTTTTATCATTTCGGGCACATTTGCCCTCATATGTCTACCAAATAACAATTACTCAAACTCTTTACATTTAAGAATTTAGCTAAAACACCCCAACCACAAAAAAGTTTAAAAGTTAACAAAATACCCCTAGCCATCCAAGACCATCGATGGCCACCAGCGAAAGTCATCATATCGGCACAAGATCGAAGGGATCTTGCAAGTCGTGTGCCGGTAAGGACGTTTCTGGCCATAGATTTGTGATCCCTGCCGAAAATGGCCAGATTTGGCCGTTTCACAGCCAAAGATATGACCGTAAAACGCCTTAGATCTTTGGTCGTGAAATGACCGTCATTTCATGGCCAAAGATTTGACCTTTTCACGGCTAGATCTATGGTCGTTTCACGGCCACATCTTTGGCCGTGAAACGGTCATATCTAGCCATTTTTTGTCGTGGATCAAAGATCCATGACCGCATTAGGTCTTATTGGAGCACAACCAGCCAGATCCGGTCGGTCGTGCGACATTACGGCGACTGCCAGCAGTGGTGGCTGGCTGTCAGCGATGGCTTGGGGTGGATGGGGTGATTTAGCTACAAATTAAAATTTTATATGGTTGAGGTGTTTTAACATAATTTCAAATATAGAGGGTTAAAAAACTAATTTAAAAAATAATACTATATTATATTATTATTTTAAAATGAGGACAATTTAGTAATCTATATAACATACTCACTCATTTATCCTCCCAACCAAACATATTATTATAATATAGCCACAAATTTATTCCAACCAATCAAACACATTTTTCTAAAGATTCTCTGGTAATATATCTTTCCAGTAATACAACATTCCCTAATGATATAAGATTCCCTGAACCAAATGCACCCTAAGGTGTAACTTAAACCAATTATACAAATAGTCATAATGCAATTGAATTGTACTACATTTAAGTTTTATGGTAATGTTAAAACCTGAGTCTATGAGACCATTTTTAACTTATCTCTACCTCCTAAATTTAAATTCCAGGAGTTCACAAGGCAAAAAGCCATTTTCACTTTTCTGCATCGCCCTCCTCAACATAACTTTCTTCAATTCCAGTTGCTCTTATATAATAAACTCATCGCAACTTCAAAATATACCAAATGCCTTCTTAAATGCACCTTCATCGCTAGGGGTGAGCACGGGTAGCGGGTAGAACCGGAACCGGGGGGTAGAACCAGAATCGGAACCGGAACCTACCCGGAACCGATACTGTGTGGGTAGGTTCCGATTCCAATTTTTTGGAACCGATACTGTGCGGTTCTGGTTCTGGTTCGTGTGTGGAGGGAACCGGAACCTGTAAAAAGGGTACCCTGTTGGAACCTGTAAGAGGTACCCAGTTTGAAACCGATTTTTGGAACCTGTTGGAACTGTTTGGAACCTTGGAACATGTTTAGAACCTGTTGGAACCTGGACTACAATGAAATTTGTGGAAATGTGAATAATGGAGGGTTTCTATTATTTTACATATAAAAAAATTTAAATAGAAAAAAAGTTAATTTTTAGAATAACCTAATTAAATAAATATACGAATACAATTAACTTATTATATATAAATTACACCATATTAAAAGCTTTAATATATTATATACATTAATATTAAAGTTTGATAATTAAGTGAATAATTGGAATTATGATCTAATTAAAAGTGTTTTACATTTTAATGTTATAAAAGAATTATTTTGAATAAAATAGTATATTGATGAGTAATATATATTTAGTTATTTACTTCAATTATCAAATTCTAAGTAATCTATAATAAATTAGTAATTAATTAATTATATATGATAAATTGATAACATTAATAAATTTAATTACTAGAAATATCATACTTAATCAATTATAACATTATATTATAGTAAATGATTACTTCATTAATTATAATTTTATAATTACTTAATTATTTTAGTATCTTAATTATAGCATTACATTAATTGATTACTACTTAATTAATTGACTTATAAGTTATAACATTTAGTATATTACTATTAAATAATTAAAAATTTAATAATATAGCATTACATTATAGATTTATAGTTTAATTCTTAGTCAATTATACTTTTATTATAAACATTAATACAAACTTAATAAATGATTAAAAAATTAATAATATAATTACATAAAAATTTATATATGATTATTTAATAGTTAATTCACTATAACATTACCTTATAGTATGATTATATAATTAATTAAACATTATTAATTAAATGATTACTTAATTGATTATGACATTATATTATAATATTACTAATTACTAATTACTACATAACATTAGCATAATACTTAATTAAATGATTAGAAATTTAATTAATTACACATTACATTATAAATTTATAGTACGATTATGTAATAATTGTAAATTACATTAAATTAAATGATTACTTAATAATTATAATATTCTATTATAAATAAATAAATTATAATTATATTAAAGACTTATAGTATGATTACTTAATTCATTGTACATTTACTATTTCATTATAGTATGATTAGTGATTACAAATTAATTATAACATTACATAATTAGATGATTATTTAATGATTATGACATTATATTATAAACATTAATTATACATTATTACATTACATATATTATGATCACTTAATTAATTATAGTATTACATAGTTAAATGATATTAATTAGTATAAAATTTATAACATTACATTATAAACATTAGTAATTTACTACATATTATTATTACATTCTTAATTAAATGATTAAAATTTTAATTAATTATATATACATTAAAGATCTATAATCTGATTACTTAATTCAATAACATTACATATAGTATGATCACTAAATTGATTATAACATTACATAATTAAATAATTATTAATTGATTATGAGTTATGATATTATGTTTTAAACATTAGTAATATAATTACTACTAAACATGAGCAAATATAATAAATGATTAGAAATTTAATTAATTTAACATTACCTTATAAACATTTCAAAACATTAATTAAGTTACATTATAGTTAAATAATTACTCAATTAAATTATAACATTATTATATTACATATTATGATCATATTACTTAATATAGCATTACATAGTTAAATGATTATATAATTAGTTATGAATTATAAACATACATTATAAACATTAGTAATTACTATATTATTACATTATGTAATTAAACGATTAAAAATTTAATTAATTATAACATTACCTTATATATTTATAATATGATACTTAATCAATTAAACATTCCATATAACCATTAGTATATAATTAAATGATTTGAAATTAATAATTATAATATTAAATTATAGATTTATAGGATGATTACTTAATTCAATAACATTACATTATACTATTATAATATGATCATATAATTAATAAACATTACATAATTAAATGATTACTTAATTGATTATGACATTATATTATAAACATTAGTAATAATTTACTAATTTCACAATACTTAATTAAATGATAGAATGTTATTAATATATAACATTACATTATAAATTATGGTATGATATATTAATTAATTATAACATTTTATTATAATAATATTACAATACTTAATTAAATGATTAACAATTTAATAATTAAATATACAATTATAATTAAACCCTAAACCCAAATAGTATATTGTTAGGGGTGCATTTGTAAACTTTTAATGTATTTTGTCATTTTTTAAACTAATAGGGGGTACTTATTTTTTACAGGGTACCTCGGAAAGAAACCGAAACTGCATTTTAGGTTCCGGTTCTTTTATTGGAACCTACACTGTGCGGTTCCAGTTCCGGTTTCGGTTCCCCTAAAAAATGGAGGGTACCCGAAACCGCTCACCCCTGTGTTCATCGCCCTTTTAACAGCTTATAATTGACAGGTCAGCTAAAATTTATTTACCCAATTTTTAAGAGCCGAGTTGATTTCATGTAGGGAACTATTTTAAAGAAGAATGAGAAGACTCCAAGGG